AGTCTTGTCCTATGTCCGGCTTGATGTCCCGCAAGGTAGCATCTTGGGTCCTTTGTTCTTTTTGCTCTTCATAAATGATCTACCTCTCTATATGTCTTCGGATGTTGATCTTACCATGTTCGCTGATGATACCTCTGCTCTAGTGAAAGGTCCTTCTTTAGCGGTATTATCTGAACATGTGCGTCACTTAGTATGCTAAGGGTTAAGAAAGAAGCAGGGAAACGTCGACGTAACCGAGTGTTTCCCTTACACTTCTTTCTTGCTCTGGCCAGGTCCTCCGGGCTTCACAACAAAACAAAGTAAATTCGAGGTTTCTCCATTTTTTAAGTGATAAGTCTCAATATATTGAACATGGCTCCTCCACTTGCGCAGGTCTCGCCCCCACCCCCCGCGCTCTCTTGACGGTCATGACTCGCACCTTCCTCTACTCAAATGAAAATCATAAGGCAGCATCGTTCTTTTCAAGGTTGACTTCGAACATAAAAAACTTTTAAAAGGAGAAAAATGTTAAATTCTAAGCCGGGCAAAATGAGAAAGAAATATATGTCTCTGTCTTATTTTGTTATGGTCGCTGTCTGCAGAAAATGTGTAACATATTATTCTTGTATTTGTATGAATTATGATGTCTTTGTGGCTCAGTGGATAGAGCATTGGAGCGCGCCAAATCCGTCCATTGGACCTTGGATTCCTTGTGGGGAATGAGCAGTTTATTTCTTCGTTCCTCGCTAGAGGTAAGACGAAGAAACATCTTTCACCTGTTTTTTTTTCTCACCTGCTTTTTGTTTTACCTGTTATCACTCTTAACTCTTAGGATTACTGCAGCTCGATGCGTCATGCGGCTGGTTACGTAGTCAATCGGAAGTCGAGAACGAGCAATTATTTAATTCATTCACGCAATTTCAAAATGAGACCGTCATTAAATATCTTTTTATTCATTACTGAGATGTACTGTTTTTAATGTTCTTTTCGAGTATCAGAGTTAACGTTATTTCCTGGTCACAAAGTAGTTAGCTGGGAATTTTTCCCACTGTCACATGCCAATCCCTCGCTCACAATGCCTTTTATTTAGCTTGATTCTTGATCAGCTGACTGAGCGTGCAAACAGAACTCCGTGCCAAATCTGTGACGTAGCAGCCGCTTATTGGCAGCAGTTGTTAATGAATATTTATCAAAAGTTGTAGAATTTTCAGCAAACGACGCTGTCCGTCGTAGAGGAAAGGCCTGCTGTCCAATCTACTTAACATAACGTTACACTCTGGAAGGAAAGAGACACTGGACCTGAAAAGAAGAACAACGAAAGCACTTTAAATGTCACTGTAACAACAGGTGAGCGTTGCCTCGGAAAAATATCGCCTTAAGCCTCCTCAGGAATCTAAACGAGTCACATTATTTCAGGTCAAAGACGTAGCACGTGTCGGTTGCTGGGTCTGAGCGGCTCTTCAACTCGAAATTGGACTGAATTAGGGTGTTGGCTCCGTGAAACGGGCAAAATCTGTAATTATAAAGTATTTGGGATGAAAGAACCACATAAAAATGTTTCGCTTGCTAAATGTATTGGGGACCAGACTTACTTTTGTAATGAATGCAGCCACGTGGAAGTCTAAGGACCCTTCTACTCATGCTCAGTAGCCTTTGCTTCATTGTAAACAACAACAACAATTTAACATTTATATAGCGCAAACTACTATATAGATAATCAGTCGCGCTTTACAATCAGTTAAGGTGAGATCGGACGTCAGAATTCATCAGGCGCACTATGCAGCCACTTCAGTCCATGTGTTGATCTCACCTTCCCTCCCCAATTCACCCTAGATTAAACAACATTTTAAAACGTTTTTTCGAAGCACTTGCTTTTCCTATGACTGCATGTGTCAAAGAGCAAAACAAGACAAAATTTTGATTTCAATTCTTGTCCGGCTCATGGAAAATAAACATTCCCTGATCACATTCATATATTCTTGTCTTTAGGAAGAGAAATGTTGTCAGAGCGATAGAAGAACAAACATTCTGATCAAAAGAAGACACTGGAATCAATGAATTTTTAGTGGATACTGCAAAGATAAGAAGTTTTAAATTATTTAGTAATACTAGCAAAAATGGTTGCCCTTTATGAGGTGTAATTATTGTTCGAAGTCTGTTCTTTTCCCAGTTGTATTGTAATGGACAAAACTGTTCACGCGGTAGGTGAATAATATTGTTCTCAATTAGCCACCATTTTTTGGAATAATTTGTTGTGTTACGGATTGTAATACAGACCCTGAGCGATCGTTTGATTTATTCGAACTACCAGCTATATANGAGGATTTTTGGGGATCACATGGTTTTTAGGGGGATCAGTGGGGTGATCCGTCTTCGCCAAGAGAGTATAAAGAGGGGGCTATAGAAAATTGACCTCCAATTAACTGCCAATAAGAAAGGATCGTAAGAGTAAAAAAACCAATGGGGGGGAGGGGATGGTAATTTTATCGTGACGCAACCAAAATCTTCCAATCCCCTGTCGGACGCAAAATAATGAACGGCCCCTTTGCGTTTCTCTTGGAACACCATTACCCTTGATAGGAATTTTCCCACTTGCCCAAGTTTCGCTCTACCTATTGACCAGAATGAGTTCAATTCACATAATCGCACTGATTTACCTGAGATGTCCCTTTCCGTTTGCGTCGGAAAGCTTCTTATTTCATCTTGAAAAAAAGAAATTCAAGATTGGAATCAAAAGGCAATCATTTCAACTCAAAACGTTACTGTATGTGTGGTAACTGTGTGATATAAGAAGAGTATAACACACTTTCAGGAGCTATGAGTCGATCAACTCGAAGCTTCAAAATCCCCTCTCTCCTCCCCGAGCAATCTCTAAACATTTGCATTTTTGAAGGTTGGCTCAGTCGTTTAAATTCCCGCTCCACAGCCGAAAATTGCTTTCATTGCCCCACTCAGTGATTCTGTGTGAAACCACTGAATGCTGTAGAATTTAGCAAAATTATGTATTAGTTGTTGATGCTGCTGTTTGGTTTTTCGCGTGTAAGTTCCCTCCTCAGGGACCCATTTCAATATTTAATTTTTTTTTTAATTTTAGGAGGACTGGATAAAGACACCTCAGCGATAGTTTTCTACCTCTTTTGAAACTCTGAGCAAGTAAATGATAACAAATAAAATCAAATCGTAGCAACAACAAAAAAAATTTACAAGAAAATAATTCACTCTTTTAGCCGTCATTTGAAGGCAAGTTACAGATCTGCTTCGAAAATGTACGCCATCTAAATGATGGTGGCCAATTGATTTATTTTTCTTTGATCGATTTTTGCGCACGCGCAAAACGTCTCATCTCACAACAAAATTGAAAAACAAGTTAAGGCAATCACTTTCATCACAAAACATTCATGCATGTTTGATAACTGTGTTATATCTGAAGAGTATTAGGAATCATTTTCTCCCCCTAATTCTGTCAAAAAAAAAAAGGCGGAAAATTACGAATTGTGAGGAAAATTACGAGTGGACAGAAAGGACAGATTTTGGACAAAAACTTGCACAGATCGCCCGATTTTCATTTATTTTTAATACCTGCACCCAAGTTATTCAATTTCCCACCTAATTTTCTCAGATTATAGCCATTAAATAGAATCTGTCATTTGGTACAATTGACGTTATGCCACAAAAATATACATTTAAATAGCTGAAATCACGAGATGATAATGCATTGCACCCTTAACAAAAGAGTATTTTCACTTTCTTGCTTCGGTAAGTGACAAGCTGGAGAATTTCCTTTATCTGGTCTTCCACGCTTTGAGTTCGATTTCAACAGTCTGTGAAAATCTTGAAATGGTGAGTTAAAAATTGTTCTTATTGTAGATTCCAAGATATCTTGTGAAACGATTGATCAAAGTAGAATAGTGTTTCAAGCACTATTTAAGCTATTTTGCCGCATCCCTTTATTTTTGAGTAGATGGATATTTAGATTTGTCCTTTCAAGTGCTATTGTCTGTAGTTTAACTGACTCAGACCAAATCTATGTTGCTTGATTCAATTATGAAATATCCTGTAAAGTCTTTGTCGGTAGCTACCCGAAAGTCTATCACTACCCTGACCCAAAAATTGCCGCTATCTTCCAAACGGAAATTATGGGTTGCATATACCGATTAACGTTTTGGCTTCATAACAAGTACATTGAAAGGCCAACAGTATTACTCGCCAGTACACTCTTAGTAAACGCAGATTGCTGAATGAGTGACTGATGTTTATGACAGACGCATTTTGCTCGGTATTTCGATCGTGAGTCCTGTTGTGACATGATCTGTTCATTCACTTTTAATGCTGAGCTTTGAACTCTGGTGACGTTAATTGAGAATTTGACTGCAATGAATAACATTGAAACATTATGCAAGACAGGCATTGGCAGAATGACAAGAACGCTCACCTCCTCTCTTTCCTATTGTGGCGACATCTTTAAAGAAAAAATCATCAACTCTTACAAGCAGGCCTTGCATAAACGGAGTAAAAACTCCGTGTAATGTTGTTATTTGTTTCTTGTTGAAATTAAGAGACAACATTATGTATGTGTGTACATTGCAAGGCTGTTTGATGTGACACCTATTGCAGCCTAAAACTCCCACAATGATTCCCGATTTCCATTGCAGTGAAGCGTTCATATAACAACAAATACCAAAAATCTAGCATTCTGCTCCAAGAGCAACACTGAAAAACTGTCGATCTTTAAAGATCAAAACTTGCTCAAGAAATTAATAGTTTTCATTCAAAACACACCTCAGGGCCAGATCTTGCTGTTTGGCTGGAAAATTCCTTCTCACTTCCTCCGCTAGCCCTTGTTCCTCTGTTTCACGAAAGCTAATAGGGACCGTAAGCATCGACGAGGTTGGAAGTCAGGGACGTTCGCCGGAATTGAATTATCAGCTGTCGTTAGCTGTTGCTATGGATACACCGTCCGTCCCTGATGGAAGGTCACGTCAACAACGCAGGATCGCTTAGTTTGACGTCCTGGAGAAATACAGGTGGATTTGAGATTAAAACTGCCGTACTTCGAAGATGATTTGATGTCATTCACTCCAATAACCACATTAAATTTTCTCGGCTGTTGTACTTGTAGTCATGTCAAGCTTGCAAGTTCCCTGTGAAGGAGGAAATTACGCTGGTCCAAGCAGATCCTCGAGGTTAGTTGTCATGCAGCTTAATTTTTTTTTGGACGAAAGTCTCTGAGGTCGTACGAGTAACTTAGCGTAATGCATACTTTGAGAAAAAAAATTCTTAGCCTTAGGTCAAAGTTAACTTCGCCACAACAAATAAATGTAAAATTTTCTGATTGGACTCTCTGAAGCTTGCCATGGTGCTCTTTCGTTAGGACCCTCCACACATCATCTCTTGCAAAGAATTGAAGTCTAAAAAAGACGTAGGGATAGACAAGTCGTCAGATTTTATTTTGAAGGAAACGAAAGTTTCGAGACTGCTCGAATGGAAGACTGAGAAATTGGCGATTATTCTTCAATTCTTTATGTACGAGATACTGTTTTTTTTTTTGACGGGGTATTTTAAAGGAAGCCTTACGTTTATTTTTTGGCCGAAAATGGTGGTAGGGGAAACTCTGAGCCAATTGTCCAAATTTTCCAAAAACAGCAAAACCTGGCTCAAAAACTGATCACTTTATTGACTTGTTGAAGTAATAGTAGATTATGATTAAACAAGACAACAAGCAAATAAATATACAGTTTATTAGCAATGTAGAAAAATATAACTTATATTAATTAAAAAAAAAAAAATAAGCGCATGAGCATTTTGAGCGCCGTAGTTTTTTTGGGCGGGAAAATGTTTCATCTCAAAAAGGCTCTTGGCATGAATTGAACCAACAAAAAAATAACGAAAGAACAGCTCTTGAGTTTTTTGATATTAGCGATTGTTTGGTGATTTGGCGTTTGCTTTCTCAAGTGATAAAAGTAGAGTGTTCGTTTTTTAAAAAACGCGCATTTATATTGTTAAACGAGTTAACTTCAGTGTTTAAGTCTTTAGGCACAAGTACTGTGTGATTACTACACACATAAAGGTGAACGTAACAAAAAATAAAATTAAACTAATTAACCTAAATTAATAGAGACTTGAGAAAAATGACAACCTTGGACAGAATGCAAGACTTGAGAGTCGATAAGCAACCGCACCCCAACCTTCTTTCTACACCCGCGTTTTAGATGTTTTACTCTGTGTACCTTGTGGTAACAATGTGTCGTAATACGCATGTGTCGTGAGACAGACATTAGGGACCTTAAGCATCGACGACGTTGGAAGTCACGGACGTTCGCCGGAAGTGAATTATCAGCTGTGGTTCGCTGTTGCTATGGATACACCGTCCGTCCCTGATGAAAGGTCACGTCGACAACGCAGGATCGCTCAGTTTGACGTCCTGGAGAAAACGCAGAAATACAGGTGGATTTGAGATTAAAACTGCCGTACTTCGAAGGTGATTTGATGTCATTCCCAAGAATTAAAAGCCAGTGGCATCAGTCCTGAGCCAACCAAGCTGGACAGACTACTTGAAGAAATCATAGAGAGAGCTGAGGCCTGTGATCAGTCAAGAGATGAGGAGGATGACAAAGCAAGAGAGAAAAAACAGAGAGAACAAGAGCAAGCTAAGGATATCAGGCTCAAAGCCATGGAGTCATTGAGTGAAACAAAGAAACGGTCACTTTCAGATGGGGATGGTGAAAATCAAAACAAGGCCAAAAAGAGGCGATCCAATGGAACTGAAATGGTGGCCTATTTGAGGGAGCGGGCAACTGAAGAGAATAGACTAAAAGAAAGAGATATAGAAATAAGATCTGTGCAGTTGGAGAAAGAGGCTGAGAGGCAACAATTGCTTGACAAGCAGCATAACAGCCTGATGCAACTGCTGTTACAACAGCAGCAGCAGCAACAACAACAACAACAACACTTGGATATATTTCGAGCTACTCTTTTAAAAATTTGTTTTTTTAACTATGATTGTATTGGCCCCAACTAAAGCAACAGGCCGGTACGTATTAACTTCATTGATCAAAAAAATCACCATCTACTTCAGTTGGAGTTTGTTAGTGTGACTAAATTGACTGCTTACATATTTGTTATGCTTAACATATCTTTTATTGTTGTGATGTCTTCTTGCTTTCTGTATTACATTTTATATAATTTGTTGATGACACAATTTATTCATACCAGCATATACATTATAATTACTTATCCTCAAAAGGTATATTACTGCTGAGAAATTAATGTCATGTATAGAACTTTAAAATTTACATGACTTGCTATAATATCAAACTGGGCACATTACTTTGAAATAAAATTTTGATTAAAAACTCTATAAACTTTGCCATACAGTGTAAATGAGCATTTAAACACAAGCCCTTATTTTTTATTTTGGTACAGAAGATTAAGTGATTAAACAACCACAGTCCCCACAGTTATCATGTTATTTTTAAAACTTGTAAGTACATAAAAAGCAAATTGATATTAGTTTTTTATGTATCTGTCCTGTTATTGGCAATGTATTTCGTCAAAGCAGCTGTGGATCCACATGAGCTACTGTGACAATTTTATGATGAAATTCATGATCAATTATATGATAGAGGCATTTAAAATTGAGGTCAATTTGCTAATTCACCCATTCTTTGGAGTAACTGTCAACCTCCACACATGTAAGAACAATGATCTATACATGCTCCCTTGATTCCGTTTTTACTCTTCAAAAGGGTGTCAAACCCCTTCCAGAACAAAGTGAGGAAAAAGGCTTGGTACCCTTTTCGGGGAGAAAAGCAGACTCAAGGGTGTGTTACAGACCATTGTTCTTACATGTGTGTCATCAAACAATCAGGTTATAAGTTCAGGCAAAATATTCTTCAAGAGAGGGTGGCTCAATGTCAAAGAATGTAGCAGTGATGTTTCCATACATGCATGTTAATGCGTTTCGTAATAATGCATTAACCACCTAGTGTTTGCCAACAGCACTTAACCCGATTTTAAGATTTTTCTTGAAATCAAGGAATTTAAATTATGCCACAATGTCGCCAAAAATCCACTCCACAGATGTTCGCACAGAGCTCATGGACTTATTGAATTGCTCCATGGGAGCAGTGAGTGGAGCTTCTCTAAATGGTTGCTGTAGGTGGAGCCGCAGTGGATATGCTGGGTCGCCATAAATGCACATGGCCTCACCAGTGACAGGACTGAATGCATTTCTCTCCAAATCGTCCAGTAGTCCAGAGTCTTTAAGCATTACTGCATCATGTTTTTTACCTTCTGTGTGAGTTTAAAACAACAAAATGGCTCAATCAGTCAATCAATCAATCTATCTATCTTCTCCATCAAACAAAGATTTAACACATACATTTAATTTGAACCCCTGTTAAGGGGATACTTAATTACTAGCTGCTAGTAAAAGTTAATCAGACTAGTGTAATTCAAGCGTGCATAAGACTCCTAGTATTTACTGTACTACAATAGCCAGCAAGATCGCAAGCACTATTCGCAGTTTGGCATGCAGTCTTGTAGCAGCACGATAAAAATGATGATTATTTTTCACGTACCTACGGGTCCGTACAGGTGAGCGATGAGTCCATTTGGCAATGACACTGACTGGAATTTTAAAGCATGTACACGCTTGTGGCCATTGTAAACTATTTTTTGGTCTTGGCCTGGCCTACAAATAGGCCGCACTGTGCCATCGACAAATCCAAAGCAGTTGGACAGTGCTGCCCCTTTGTCAGCTATGGCATCAGCGTACACTCGCAGTTTGTCTCTGCTGAGGAGTTGGTCATTCCACTCTGTGATCTTGGCGTGATGATGGTCGAAAATCCACTTCTCAAAACGTGTCGTGATCATGCTTATCTCTGGCACTGCCCGTCCAAATCTGTGGATCATGTCACCTGTTTGTAAGTCTGCCGACTGGAGCTGGTAAATCGATGATATATTTGGCTCTTCCGACACTTTTTGATATCATACGCGAACAACGTGGCCGTATATATCATTGCAGTTGTGTCGCCTCTAATTAACCTCATGGAAGACCAGGTCATGAAATTAAGATCTTTGGGAATTTCATTGGTATCCTTGTGTAGCTTAAAAGAGGGCGAAATTTCGCCAGTGGAACAGGGAAAATACGAAGTTGTATTCGGAGTCCTGGCTCAAGACTGAAAAGTGGAGGAGAATTTTGACAAGATCTACATATCAATCAAAGCTATGTGGCATTGCAGTCGATGAAGCTCATGTAATTAAGCAGTGGTAAGTTCATTTTGCCGTTTTATAATCGATCGACTCAAAGTAAATTCGATCGAACTTTTATTTGTTATTTTACCAGAACCGTTTTCCCTATGGTTGTTCGTTCGATGTTCAAGGTATTCAATTGCTTCATCTGAATTTTTTATTCAGGGGGACATCAAACACCAACAGTATGGCTGCATTTAGATCGAGAATGCTATGGTAAACTTCATGAGCGCTCGTACCGCGGGTGAATTTGAATTTGAGCTATTCCTCTCTGATTGGCTAATTCGTAAACAATAACATCGATTTGATTGGATAACTACAAAGAATGCCGAAGGCAAGTCTCGCTTCAATGGAGCAGACGTTCGTCGGGGGAGAATTTTTAATGCGAGACCCAAAGAACGTCTGCAAAGGAGGCTAGTGTTCAACCTCAATGGTTTTTATTTTATCCGTCGTATGTGCTGATCATCTGGTTGGATGTTTTGGTTTTCTTTTTGGTAGAAAGGTCTGTCAATTCTTTCTTTGCTTATCAACTAGGCTAAAGGACGTTTCATTGGTTCTAGATTGAGGTCAGCACACACGAAGGGAAGCTATATCGAAGGCGTTCGTCGAGGGTAAGAGTAAACAGAAATTTTGGTCAGCGGGCAAATTGTGAAACCCGCGAGTACGAGTATTGCGAAATCCCGCGAAAGGATGACATTTAAAAACCGAAGACAATTTTTGACTAAGACACTAGAATGCGTTATGATGGCGACGACTCAGTAAATATATGAAAATAATATATGTTTACTGCGCTTTCATAAAATGTATGAAAGCGTTCTTCGCAGTAATAAACCCTACTTATCTAGTAGGTGGATTGACTACCAGCTTGGCGACCAGGTTCGTTCGGTTCGAAGACTAATTTTGTCTTCTTTACTAAATGGTAATTCCAGCCTGGTTGCTTTTAAAACCTAAAAATAAGCCTGCAAAAACCAAGATATATTCTGAAGCGAAGATTTTACAAAGGAAAAACAGAAAAGATCTCAATCAGAAACCAAGTCAGCCTGATCGACAGGGTTCACAACAAGAAGTACTAACATTCAGTTTGCCTCATTTTTGGTGTAATTAGCTTAATACTTAGAATCGTACGGTTCAGTATTTAGTTATTTCATAAAAGACTTCAAGGTTAGATAGAGAAAAATGAAGTGTTCTCGTGAAAAATGCACAGTGATCTGCTAAATAGCCATCAGCATTTTAAAAAAAGGAAATTCCAAAAACCCTATCTCGGTAACTGAGCTAACTTAGTTACTTATATAAAGAAATCGTAAGTTTGCGAAGAAAAGAGCGGGGGAATGAGATGTCAGAAATAGAGCTAGTTCTGATGACCAGGCCATGTGCGAGGAGGCAGTAACTCTATCAATTCTATTGCTACTTCATACCTACTTAGACTGCATAGTTTACAGTGTTTAGTTTGTTATTTCGAAGAAAACTTCAATGTCAGATGGAGTAAAATGATTTGTTCCTGCGTAAAATGCACAGTTCCATCCCGAATAGCTCGAGGGATTGGAGTACGTGTGGCCGCAATACGTATAAGACTGTTGACTGCTGTTGGCGTTATTTGATATGTGAATGTCATGCCCACCAAAAGTGGGTCCATAGGAGGAACATCTGTACATGGCGTATTGCTGGTTTCGGTATTGTGTTAGCTTCACAGGATTGTATCCTTTCACGTTGTTAAGAGAGAAAACAAAAGCTTTGCTGGCTGAAGAATAAGCACAGGAACTTGCTAAAATTGAAAAGAGTTAGGGACTGGTCACTATCTGTCACCTGGGGGAGGGGAGGGGAGAGCGAAGGATTCTGGGGAGAAGGGTCAGATTTTTTTCAAGAATAAAAGGGGGGTCAGCCTTAATTGACAGGCATTAAGGAGGGGGGGACCATGAAAAAAGGAGAAAATATCTTTGAATCATCTATGAGGACTGTAAGATAATGAACAAAAATATGATTGGAAATTTCGCACCGGTGGCTGTGTACAGTAAAAAACGTTTGAAGCTA